TGCATTGCCTGTATAGATACTTGTATGCTGGGGCTTTTTACACAAATGAAGAGAAGCGTATCCACCAACCGCTACTGCAACTTGATTAACCCGTTTGTTCTATCGTTTACGATACTTTTCCACAATTTTAATTTCATCAGCTACTTTTTGTCTTGTCCTGTGCACATAGACATAAAATTTAGAAACCCTGATATGAAATTACTAAACATTTAACAAGAAAATAAGTTGTTTAATTCCTACAGAAGTTTAGTAGTCACATAATACAATAGTGCTGGTTGCATCATTCCCAAAAATATATGCACATTATCATAGTCATCTTCTAAGCAACATAAAAAGTAGTCAAATACTATGATAAGCAACACAAATGAAGTCCCAATCCTTAGTTGCATGCTTCAAGAAGATTAGGAGTTTTTCCCTCTTATTCTTCAAAGCCACATACATCTCCCTTGCAGCTAGCTTGTCCATAAGGAGTGTTGTGCACTGGCCAAACAAGTCGGGATCATCAACAACTTCATCAACTTCATTAAGGTGCTCCATGACTCCTGCAATTGATGTCTCATAAGCACGTGCTTTTTTTTTCTAGCTTCCTAGCACGTGCTTCTAAAATCTCTTCATGTTCACGCTAAGAATCAATTTCATTTGCTTGAGCTATCCTGTTTAGTGCATCTGCTATTTTCATGGTGGTAATAGGTTTCTTCTTCATGGATTCACTCTTTTTTCTAACCCCTAATAAGCTACTAGGTTGACCACCACCTGTGCTTCTGCCCCCACGAATGGTTTCCTGTCTCATCCCAGTGTTGCCTCCACTTCCTCCTCTATATATCATTGAATGTGACCGAATTAAACTCCCTGCTTATGCCAGTTGGTGCCCTTAAAATTTCATCACTATCTGTAGACCATCTTTCCATATCATCTTCAGGAACTCCTTCGCTTGGAAGTGTTATGGAAGAAGGTGCCTATGACTGTGGTTCAGTTGCAGCTACAGACCCAAAGAGTTGAGTCAATTCGGCCCGAAATTGAAGCTCTCTTTCTCTAAATTTCTCGTAGCTTGGAATTTCCTGCGTATTCAACAAAAAATATTATACATTATACAAAAAACGTTAACGTGGGAGAAAATGCAAGCTCAAATAAAGTTAAATGATTACCACTATTTTCTTCTCCCACCAATTATCAGGGGTACTAACAGTATTCCTTTCGACATCCCACTCCAAACCTGTCTCAAGAAGCAACCTATCCCATAACTGCTACTCCTTTCGCAGGGCATCAAATTTGTTCTTCAATTGGATTCTCATATAGACTCTCCCAGTCTTCGCAGTGAAGCTGTCCCCAAGACTTGTCCAAGTAGGCTTTGTCAAACTAGTTCCTTTTTTTCCCCCCTTTTCAACTTCTTCAATGCACAGGTCAATAAAGACCTTTGTGGTTCTTATATCCCACAAAGCTTTTCCATTTTGTTTACTCATTATGCCACAGACCAATTACAACACTTCAGTCATCACAAGATACTTCTCGTATAAAATGAAAGATGTTTCATTCTCAATTAGAAACTCAAAACACTACACGTAAAACATATATCTCTCCAAGGATACCCAAATTCACAATGACAATATTTTAGGACAGAAATCAATCTAATTGACTGCTTGATCCATAAAAGATCCATTATCATTACTCCAAAAGAAGATAGGAAACCTTCACTATTTAGACCAGAGATAGAGTACATTCAACAAAGTAACCCCAGGTATAGTCCCTTATCACTTCATGCCTAAGCAAGAGAAGGTCTAGCCCATTCTCAATACAACAACATATTATATCTTATTCTAGGACCCAAATAAATACCCTAACCTACACAGTGTGTCATAGCGCCTCTTGATCTTAGACAAAACAAACAGAAACGTAAATATATTAATCCAGTAATTAAGTTCTGAGAGAAAATGACATGGTCTATTTGAAAAAAATAAAAATATATCTAATCAAATAAAGGAGGAAAGGCCACGACCAAATAAACCACCTTCTCAGTTCTAGCACGATCGTGGAAATCCGTATCATTTCAGAACCAGGGATGACAAGATCGCAAAATTTCTTGCAGTGGCCTGACTCTCTGAGTTATTCAAATGATAATACTATAACAGTCAATGCCACAACCAGAATTTGAAAACAAAACACATCTCCAGCCACAACCAAGATTTTTCCTGTATTCGTATACACATAAGAATGCTCTATCTCTCATTCTCAATTGATGAACAGATTACCATGAAATAAAACCAACTAACAAAATCAATCAGTGTCAACTAAGCAAGCAACATATGAAGGTGGGAGGAAGAAAAAAAAAAGAAGCCAATAGAAGTGAACATAGCATGGCCACCCGGTGAAACCAACCTCTGTTTGGGGGGGAAAAAGACGATGGTAGGAGGAATTTTGAAATGGAGGGATGGAATCGAACACGGCGACCTGAGACGAGATGAAGGGAGAACATGCATCAGTGGAGAAAATAATGACTGAAGAGCAGACGGCTTACCTGAGTTTTGGATCTGAGCAATGGAACTGAACACGGCGACTTGAGATGAGCTGAACAACGAAGATATCAGAAATGGAGGGATGGATCGAGCAAAAATGGAGCGAAGATCTTCTTTTGGAAAGCTGAGAAACACCTCACTGGCACTGAAATTCCTAAGCAACGGCACAAGACGAATGCGGTGACAGCACAGGATGAATGGGGCGACGGCACAGGACAGCAAAAGATCTCGATGGCAAGAAATTTTCGCAATTTCTTCATAGGGGGCGACAGTCAGGATGACAATGGGAGAAGAGGCGAGTAATTCCTGCTTCATCACTGTTGGGAGCCATTGATAGTAAGAAATTTTCACAATTTCTTCATAGGGGGCGACGACCAAGATGACAATGGGAGAAGAGGCAAGTAATTCTTGCTTTTTCACGATTGGGAGCCACTAACAGGAGTAATTATTACTCTAACAGCCATCTTTCCTTCCTCAAAAGCCACACCCTGTATGCTTATTTCAAAACCATAGTTTCCTTGGCCAAAACCAAGGGGGTGTTTGGCAATATGAAAACCATGGTTTCAGAAGCACTTTTCCGCAAAACGAGACAAATTTCTCCACATATTTACTTCGTAAACCGTAAAAGCACTTCTGAAACCATGGTTTGGTTTCTATCCAAACACCCTCCAAGGCTTTGCCTAAAACCTTGGTTTTTAAAAAAAAGTGGGTGGTTGGCAATTTGGATCCCTAAACCATGGTTTGGGGTCCAAAAGCACTTCTGGAAAAATTGCCAAACACCCCCAAATCAGTCATATTAAAATAATATAATTCAATTAAAAATAACAAAATATATTAACATTAATAACAAAATACAAGAAAATATAATAATAGTTTGATTGTAACAATGACAAAATACAACAATATTGAGAATTTTAATCTTTACAATTAATCAATAACTAAAATTAATAATTATTGATGCTAAAATTATCATTAAAATTTATTTAAATCTATAGTGACTAAGATATTAGGAGTTGAATGAGAAAAAATAGAATTAATAGCAACATAATTATTTAAACCCATTCTTCACCGGTTCACACAGATTTTTACCAGTTCATCCCGGTTTGACCAATTCAACTCCTAACTGATTTAATGCTTAGACCAAATCGGATCACTGGAAGATTCATTGATTTTGTGATTGGACTAGCCGATTTGGTCTATTTTTTTACTTTGCTTTTTAGCATAGAAAAGTTGAAAAATAACAAAAGAATTGAAAATCTATTCGTTGTTATTCACTTGTTAATTGGAGTGATTTTTTTTGGATGAATCTAAAAAATATACCTTTAAATTTTAAATTTTCAAATGAGTTTTATTTATTAAACTTTAATAATAATTGATAATATTTAAAAAATAAAAGACAGCATATTTTTATAGTCTTTTCTTGTTTGAAATTTTAAACTTTTGGAAGCATTTTTTTTAAATTTTTTTCTTTTTTATTCTTTAGTAAAAATCAATATTCCTTTGACACCATCTAATATTCCTACGGTCAAAAGATCAACTCTTTTCCTATATTTTCATTCTTTAACGTAAGTATCCAACCCTAGTCTGTTAACTGTGCTTCCAGGCTTTAGCAACCTCTTCTCTTCGCAATGCAGTCTTTGCGCTCCTATTTTATTTGAGAGTTAAAAATATAAAATACTTTTACATAAAATATTTTTATATAAATCAAGATAAAATTTTTTTTATATACTTACTTTATATGCTTTAAAGTTATTAAAATTTTAGTTTGAAATCAAGTTATGATTTTAAGAGTTCAAGATAAATATGTAGAAAAAGTTTTGCCTCCATATGTATAAAATTTTTTAAACAATAAAACAAAATGTCTTGGGCTTTGTTTTAGTTGGCGCGGATAGATCCCTACATTGGGCTTTGCAAAAGGTGGAAAGTGGTACCGTAATTTAAAAATTCGTTTGGTCTACTTTCCTTTTTTTTTATAAAAAAAAAAAAAAAAAAAAAAAGAGTCTTCCTTCCTTTATGAGGTATTCAGGGGCTACCTCACTATCACAGTTCGAAAACTTACCTTGTGTCTCCGTCGCAAGTACTCTCCCTGCATTTTTCCCTCTACCCCGAGGCTCTCTGCTTTCTCATGTCGTGATCCCCCTTCTGCCTCCCGTCCTTACCTCGCCACACCTCAGATTCAAAATTCAAAATCTTCCCCTCCAAAAAGAGAAAGTGATATATATTAGTACCATGATGTGGCGGTGGAGAATAGGGATGCCGACTATGGCAGCTACGGAGAGGGAAGAGCGAGGAGGTTTACGGTTCTTCTTTTGATAGGAGTGAACTCATCTTCTCCACAATGCTGAAGAGATTTGTAATCTTCCCCCATTCTTTCCTTCGTTTCTGTTCTCTCTACCCTCTGTTTTCATTTTTGTAATGGCATCTTAAAAAAAAAAAAAAAAAATGTTCCAGCTGTTTCCTTTTTGTCCCCATTTTTCATTAGATTGGAGATGCCTCGGCTGAAATTGGAGAAGCAAAGGAAGGCTAAGCAAGATTATGAGAATTAAAGGGATGCCATTGAAGCTGTTCAAAGCCGTATTGATGCAGCTAAAGCATAACTAAAGGTACCCCTTTCTTTCTCAACTCATCCTTCTCGAATGCCCTAAATTGTTATTTTCCAATCGTTGATTTCACCTTTGTTTATTGTTCTTCAAATTGACTTTTGCGTTTGATCAAGTAAGGAAGAAATATCGGAGAAAGGAATGGCAGAAAGGTTAATCTTTTGATAATAGTAGGAGGACAACTACCGTCTTCAGTTCAAATCCTGGTGGAATCTTCATTCAAAGTTGCGATTTTCGTTCTGCTGCACTTTCTCAAACTCACATCTTTGCAGCTATAGCAGAGCCCTTCACTCCTCGATGTATTATTTTGAATGAAGACCAAGCTCATGTCTCTTATTTGAACAGGTATAATTGTTTTCTCATTACACCGTTAAAAAACATCTATTTGCATCTCTGTAATCGTAAAACGCTTACGTGAAGCGGCCCATGTAATGTATGAGCATCCACTTGGTTGATTTTTATCTCAGATGTAGAGATAATTTAATCTGCTATAGGGCATACCTATAGCTCCTTTATTGGGTTTTCACAAGAGCCCGTTTTTTGTTTTTTGATACATTTCAGAAGAGCCATTTTGTTGAAGTGCTTAGTGCTATAGACTTCAACCTAATATTGAAAGAGGTTGAGGGGATCAAAACTTTTATGCGACACTGTTGTGCTAACTTCTTGGAGTTGTCATAATCTGCATGATACATGATAATTTATTAAATTGCATGTTTAAGGTACTTGCAATAGCCACATACATGTTTGTGTGTGTGTGTGTTTCTAGATTGAAGCAGCATCATTGTCCCCGCCATATTTTGAAGTTTAAAAGGTTTTTATTTTTGGCTCTAACAGATGATGATACGTGGTCTCCAAAATTTCAAGTTGATCATTAATTTCATGCATTTTTTATCCTTAGAATGAGGCATCATGAGAAATAGTAAAAACATTGATATAAGATTTGTTCGAATGTTGCAGCAAATTTCCACAGCATTGATGGATCTATATGTGTGCATGTTTCTTGATGCCATCAACATTATGGGGTCATATTTGAGTTTTGTGCTTTTATTCAAGATGGGTCATATAAGCCTTTTTTATCATTCAGCTCTATGATTTCAATTTGAAATTAACAAATCAATTCTAGCATATATGTCATGTTCATGAATAATGAACGCTGCATCAGATCAGAGAGATGACCCTGAGGTATTACGTTCCTGATGCAAGCCATCTACCAAAAAAGTGTCCTTTAAGCATTAGCTTTACGAAGAAGAGATGTTCAAGGTTTGATAGGAAGCAGTAAATATCACAAGTGGACACATAGGTTCAACATGTCGAGTGAAAAGAATTCAATGGAACAGTAAAAGAAATCAATTCAATGGAAAGCCTTGAAGTTGAAATTTTTGTCACTATATCAGAGCTTATTGCAACTTCTCAAAACCTGTCAACTGTTCTGCCTTTATCCACCTTTGCTATTCAATTCTTTGCTTGACAAGCTCTTATTGGAATTTGACTTTTCCAGCTAAACATGGCTACTAGAGTGTAGGCTTGGTTCCCTTTACTCCCTTATTTTGAAAACGTCAAGTTGTCACTAAAGGGACAGCACATGAGAATCAAATTAGAATGCCACTTCATTGTCTTATTGTTTTGCTTTGTTGTTTCAAATTTCCTGAAGCTCAATCCCGTTGATTTTGTCTTTTTGATTAAAAATGATGGATAAAGATATGAAATTGGAATTGAGGGAAGTATGAATTAATGCACCTTCGAAAAATTGGGTTGTCCTTGTTTAAGATGATCTGGTTGTTAATCATTCACCAAGTTAAAAGCATAACTTTAACCAACTGATTAAATCTAGCATCCTTGGTCAATGTTTTTCCTAGTATTCTAATTAACAATCATCAATTAATACTATTGAAGATGAGAGAATTACCATGAGGTCTTAAGAAAAAAATTTAATTATCAAAAGGTCTTAACAACAAGTGACTAGCTTGAATTTATTGTCATTTCTTATTTTTGAACTTGTCATTGTATACTCTTTACTTGTCAATAAATTTTAGGTAATTAAATCCCTTTCTTGGGACCTAACTGTAATTCTCTCATTGAAGACCATTTAGTGTGTAATGAGGCTCAGATCAATACAATTTGATCTTTTATGCAGTAGACATTTAACTTGAGATATTGAACAAGCTCAGTATAGATAAAATTCTTTCAAACTGTGAAAGAACAATACAACCGTAATGAACTTAAATAGGATATATATATATATATATAAATCAGTCTCAAACTACACATTCCAATTTAAATAATAAAAGATCAATCCCAAACTAAGAAATACAACTGGTAATCTTAGTAAATTAACTCTATAACATCGGTCCTAATTCAGGAATTCAATTGCAGAGCTTAAAGAAAGGATTAAACTAAATAACTCCTCTAAATGTAGCTCTGGAACTCAAACCCATTCATCCATCTCCACTAGGCAATCAAGTCAGCAACGCATAGCTTCAGAGTTAACTCAAACGAACTGCAGCAGCCAAGCGGCCATGGAAGCTTATGGGAATTGACGAAAATGGAAGGAGAGGTGAGGTAAATGTCGAAAATAGATGAAGAATAGAGTGGGTGTGTGATAGAAGTGGTGAAACGATGAAGGCAGTAGTGAACAGAGACAAAGGCCAACGGTGATAATGGAAAGAGAGGAATCAACGATGATGGCTGGTGGAATGCTGACGGGGGTGATGAAAAGGGGACGAAATGATGAAGGGTGTTGTTTAGTGGAGGTGAGGATGGAATGGCGTCGGTGAGGGTTGGAGGGAATTAATATGGAGGCCGTGGATTCTTGAAGATGATGGTGAATCAATATATCAAATTAAGGAGAGAACCCCTGAGGAGAGGAAGTCTGGTGCTAAACCTTATGGATCTCCATCACCTTTTCTCAATTTTTTTGGGGGGTCCTTTTGCTCTCCTTTTGCTTGGTTCTTCAGCAGAATTTTCTTGGACCTTTTACTTTCTGTTTTACTCTAATTTCACCCAAGTTTTTTGCAATCAAAATTTATTAAATGTAATACCAATATTCCACCAATCAGTTATTTAAAGATAAACACAAAAAGATCAAGTTTTTACCCTGTTAGCATTATTTTTATGAAATCACATTTAATTCAAATGAATCACAATAATGCATTTTGAGCCCAATAAACATGATAAAATCCCCAAATAAGATGTAAGATGCTATAATAAAATAAGGGCTTATCATGGTTCACGTGTTCTAAGTATATAAGTTCCATTCTCCTAACCAATCTTCATACTCTCATTTGTACTCACAATTGGTTGCACGGATTTACGTATAGAGGTAATTTATTAATTTATATACTACCTCTAATTCTTAACATAAAAAATAAATAATTAATTTGTGAATATTAAAAAAATTATTTAAGTTAATTATTTGTAATAAATAAGTGCTATTTTTTTTTAAAATACTCTTGTTATTCATGTGCATTATAATGAAAACCTATTAATATTTATAATTAGCATGGGGATTATTTTGAAAAATAAAAATAAAAATGAGGGACAAAATGGATTGGGTTTTATATTTTGAACCAAATTGAATCTTCAATAACTCCTATATTTAGGCCTACAAGTAGTATACTTTATTAGAGTTATTTATGCTTTTAATTGCACAAACAACAAACATAATAACTATGCTATTTGTCTATAATTTTGGTATATTATTTGTTGCAGATAATATATGTGATATTGATTATGAAGAAGAAATCATTAATATTTTTAGTGTTATAGAGGAACTTATTAACAGTGAAACACAATCAAATGTCCTTGAAATTGATGATAGTGTTGATGAAGTTCAAAATGATCAGAATGTTGATGTGGCTGAATGTTGACTTTGTGTTTATGTTTATTGTCTTTCACCTAGTGTTTTTGTCTGCTAACTCTTGGATGTTTAGATATATGTGTATGTGATGTTATATTTAACTGTTGGATGTTTAGATATATGTGTATGTGATGTTATATATATATATATATCACCTAAAGAAGTTAAGTTCATCATACTCCTTTTAGTCTTTTTTAGAAGAGTCTCATAACTAAATTACACAGGTTAAGAAAACAGTTAAAATTAGTTAAAAGTAATAAATATATAAAAAATGAATTTTCTTTTCTAAGGACGCCATTATTTATAAGAGGCAAGTAAGAGAGAGAAAATATGAAAGAGAATGTAGTAAACCTTTTAATTAATGTAATATACTCTTCTACTCTTATTTATAAGCCACTTCTAACATATTTCACACAAACGAAGGAACAAACTTTAAATTTCATTAACTTTCATGTAAAATTCAACAACTTTTCAACTTTATCCCTATTTAATATACATTATATCTCCTGTAAACAAAGTCAACACGATAATAAATGAAGGGTAAAATTGTACATTTATACACAAAATGTTTCTTAGTGCCTATAAATAGGATCAAAAAATGTCCTCTCTCTCTGTCCTATAAATAAGACCAAAGGAATATAAAATTAATTAGGGACAAAAATAGTAAAAATACATTAAATGTTCAGATAATCACAAGTAGGACCTTATAAAAATGACCAAGACAATTCAAATTTTAGATTCTTATAAAAAGAATTGGAGAGAGTAGCACATATAGCAAGAGGCTTGACACTAACAAAGACGACAATGGTTCAAATCTTAGGGGAGGAAGTTGTGAAGCCTCCTCATTGTTCTGTGAAGCCTCTTGTCATGTGAGTTGTGATGAATTTGTATTGAAATTATCACTGAAAGTTTTTGCCCCCCTTGTAGTGATGCCTCTTTTTATTATATATAAAATGGATTCTTAACTTCACTTAAAAAAAAAAAGGATTCTTAACATTATGATAAATTTTAGTTAAAGCCCTTAGGAATAAAAAATCACTAGTGTGACAATATTTTATCGCTAACATGACAATGATATTTTGTAATGCTATCTTTAATCTTTAATATAAGAACTATATAATTAATTTAAAAATATTAAAAAATAATTAATTTAATTATTTGGAATAAATATATGTTGACTTTCCTCGACTAACATCTCTAATCATATACATTGAAAATACCCCCGGCAGGAACCTCTTGAATATGTAATATGAATATGAATACTTGGAGGGAAAATTATAAATTCGAGAGACAAAGTCAATTGAAATGTTATATTTAAAACCAAATCTAATAATCAAATAACTTTTATATTAAGAACATGATACAGAAATTAATGAGAACTTTCTTCGAAATTAACCATAACTTAAAGGATTGATTTCTTAATAAAAAGTATAGCAATCTACCAATCTTGACTCAAGTTGATCACAAATCTAACTACTAAAAACTACTTGATCTTCAAGTGTTCATTATTGTTAACCAATCTTTAGACATACATACAGGATGCTCCTATGGTCCTATCTATAATATTAAATTATGAATATATCATTTTGTCTTTCATTTCTTATAGTATAGATAATTATTTTTTTTTAAAAGATGTATATATTAAATAGAAGTAAAGTTTAAAAGTTGTTATATTTTAATAGAGAGTTAATACAGTTTAAAGTTTTTTTTTAATTTGTAGAAACATAATAAAAGTGCCTTATAAATAGGATCAAAGGAGTACATTATATGAAAATTGGGACACATACAAAATTTGCAAAATCAACTGTATTAGTTATACCATCTAATTATGCAACTTGATGCCGTAAATGTCATAAATTGATGTTAATACTACTAGAAAAATGCCTTTTTACACCAACTAATATACGTCAATTATTGCACTAATGGTGTAATAAATGAGGTGTTGGCATTTTTGTAAATAACAATACAATATTTATACAAGTTATTATCACAATCGGTGTTATTATTACCTTTTACATCAAATATTAACCCAACCACTACAAGGGTACTTAAATGACATTGATAATTGTAAACAATAGGGATTACTAATCGTTACATCAGCCTATCTCTAACCTTTTCATTTACCTCAAAGTAATCTAAACTCGAACAGTCACTAGCCATGTCCTATCATCGTCTATTTAAGCTCAAAACCTAATTGTTCTTCTTATTCTCCATCATTTTTGTCTACTACTGTCAGTGTCACACCTTACTTATATAATACCTTAGCATTTATTTAGAACCATTCCAAACCACTTTGGATGGTCTTAAGCTTAAAAATTTCAATTTGGACGTTAATTTTCGGAAAATTACTGTTCACTGTCCAGTTTTCAGATTACAGGTCCAACTTTGAAAAACCATAACTAATTCTAGAAAAATCGTATGGAGGTGTTTCAAAATTCTACGGAAAGATCTTTCAATGCTCTTTAAGGGAAAAATATTCAACTGAACTCATCCTCACTGAAAACGTACAGTTTATTGGATTAAAATTACTATTCATCTGGTAAAATCTGGACTTTCCAGATTCTGCGCCTTAACTTCGAAAATTCATATCTCGTTGTATACACATCCAAATGATGTGATTTACCACTCATTTTAAAGCTTGGGATATGCATTATAAGTGTACCAAATTCCATAGCTTAACTCATTCATATGATAGGTTGAACTGAAGCTTGAAATTAACTGCTTTAGGACCTACGTTTTA